CTCACACCCAGGGGTCGGGACAGGACTCTGAGCTGGTGGAGGCACATGCTGAGGAGCTGGAACAAGGTGTAAATTAAAACAGGGAGAGGGCTACTTTCCCTGCCACCTAGCCCCTCCTGGGAGCAGCACATCTCTCTTCAGCCCCTTTACTGCCCTTGCTCTGGGTTAGACTCAGAGGTCGTGTGTGTGTGTGTGTCCATTACACTCCTGCTCTGCGGTGTGAGTCTAAGATACTGTAACAGACACAGTGAGGAGGCTGGAAGAAGGTTAAAGTAACAGCAGCTTAGTCTCATTCGGATGCCTCTCTCTACTCGGCCTTGTGTGTATCTAGCTACACGTCTATAAAATTGCTGTGTGAGTATATCACGTGCACTACGGGATGGAGCTCTAGCGCACAGTGTGTATTTGCTATGTGATGTGGGTAGAGCGTGTGCACATACACTGTACCCTTTGGCTTGGAAAGATTAGAGTTTTATCAGTAAATATTGATTTCACTGCATACACACAAATCAACAAAAATATTTTCATGGATAATAGAAACGTACAGATGGGAAGGGAAGAAAAATGCTGCTGAAGAACTTATTAGTGTTTGATTTAGGGCTATTTCCTTTGTGTATTTTGACATGTGATGTTGACCATGGGTTTTAACGATTATAAAACTAACTTTTTGAATCTGTCTCCTGTCATTAAATAACTGTCTGATCCCCCACCCCATAATGTCTTGCAAGTATGAAAATTTAAATAGATAAAAATTGGGGGAAAAATGCTTGAAAATAAACATCAATATTATCCATCAATTATTTAAAAAAACCGAATTCTGCTATGCCTATGTGCACTATGTGATGTGGCTAGAGCATAGGTACCCCCATCACGTAGTGCACAGTGAATATACGCTATGCCTAGTGCATTATAGGATGTGCATGGAGTATGTATGTACTACACTATATAACACTATGACTCAGGTTTAATTCTCAGGTACATGGGGGGGGAAGGGTGTGTGAATCTGTAGTAACCCCATTGAAGTGCCCCCTATGGGAGATGAGTTAATAAGAAAAACCATGTAATGCCACACTGCTAGATGGTGTGATAAACTGTGGCGCAAGAGCCCGCATAGGTTGCGGATAACGTAGTTTACCATGCAGTTCAAAAAACACACTGCGAATGACTAGCCCTAGCCTTCACCTACTGTGTATTAAGATTTAAGAAAATCTTTCTTCTGTGAGCAACGGGGGGCGATTGGAGTAAAATAATGCTGACATTTCTCTATTCTTCATGCTACCCACCCCTCCCCGGTTGGTGGAGTGTCATAAAGCCAGGGCTGTGTATTTCACCCCATTCCCGTCAGAGTTTCTGCTTCAGTTCACCATAGATTGCTGCTTCTCCTCCCCTCTCCTAACATGCGTGTGATTTATTTCCTCAGGAAAGCTCCGCGCTGAGGCAGCAGCTGTCTGTCAGTTGGGTTCCTGCTCTTACCCAGCTGTACAGCTGGCTTTGACTGAGGCCAAGGAGCTTAAGCAACTGACCGAAGGTCACCCACAGAGCCAGGGACTCAGGATGGGATTAGAATCAAAACACTCTCCAAGACCCTAGCTGCTAACCACTAGGCTGCCCTGCCTCATAACGTGCTCCACAAGGGTGGCTTAAGTGTGATGCGCTTGCTTGCTGCATGGGAAATGCCCAGGTTCAGGTCTAGCCTCCCGCTTCCCAGCCCCCTTTATATATCTTCCTGGAGGGGGAAGAGAGTGGCCCTCTTACTGGCTTGGCAGTCCCCAAGTTGGGGCGGGGGGGGGGGGGCTGGCAGGATGAGCCATGCTCATTGGTCTGCTAGGAACCTTCATAAAACCCAGAAAGCCAGGAAAATGCTTTATATGGGGAAACAGACTAGTTGGGCATCTTCCCTGCAGAGGGGCTGGGCCATTTGCTGCCTTGCAGACAAAAAGTGGTGTGGCAATGGAGTGTGAGCAATGTGGGGAGGTGGCTGAGATGTTAAATAAAACCCCAGAAGAGCTGGGGTAGAGGGAAATCCTAGTCTGTACCAGGGGCTAAGGGCCAAATCCTCAGCTGCTGTAAACTGCTGGAGCCCCAGGGAAGTCAGTGGAGTTTCATCCCTGGATAATAGGACCCCACTGATGCCATTTTTAGCCTTGTCCTACAAGATAGAGCACAGCACGGGCACTCAGGAGACCTGGGTTCTAGACCTGGCTCTGCCACTGGCCTGTTGGGTGGCCCTGGGCATGGAGTGGATGGGTGGGCCATCAAGCTCCGTGCCCTGCCTCTGGCTGTGGCCAATACCTGCTGCCTCAGAAGAAGGCGGGTGTCACATGCTCATAATGCACCTGGCCAATCACACACAAAGGGGAACAAATTCTTCTCTGATTGCCTCAAGCAATTAGCTTTCACCCAGAGCAGCAGGAGATTTGATTGCTATTATCTTAACGTGAATAGCTGAAAACGTTCTTGCTAATGTAGGATCCTGTCCTCTGTTATTCTCTCTGTTCTATGCATATGCATTGGCACATCCATATGGCTGGGCCACAGCCTGACTGTCTAATTTATTCTCCTCAATTGTCCTTGGCCTTTATGCCTGTCCAATTGTCTGAGCTGAGGCTGCACTGCCTCTTCCTGTCACTTCTCCAGCATGCTCCTGTCCGTGGTCTATCGTTGCCCTTCCAGCACATGGGAGCGTGTCCCCATCTGCTGAGATGCTCCGGAGCATCTGACGCACCAATCTGCAAAACAATGTGATGGGGAAGGAAAAGGAGCCAAACGAAAGCTGGTGGGAGCCAAGGATGCTAATAAAGGATAATGTCACCTTTTGTATTTCTGCAAGCCGTGCCTGGGTTGTCATCAACGCACCAGCCCTTGCTGCTCAAGCAGCTCTGCATATGGTGACAGGCTGGCTCCAGGCTTGCAAAATAGACAGGTAACATTATCTTTCATTAGTGACACAAGCAATTCCTTAAAGGTGCCTGAGTGGAAAGAGGAATGGACGCTTGGCCATTCATCGAACTTTTTCCTTATAGCCACACCGCCCATCTTCTCTCCACCTCCACCCACAGTCAGCCCCAGTGGCTGAACATGAGTCTCCCTGGAAAGACAGATCCATTGAAGTTCAAGTGAACTCTCCGGGCAATGTCAGAACCCTCTGTGTTATAGGGCTGGGCTAAAGTGACTGTCACTGCAGGGACAAGTCTTAACTGGTCGTTTGCTTCTAATCTATGGCTCAAAATGCACCAAACATGATCATTAAATGCACCTGCCTGCCCACTAAAGTAGGCTGATGGTGTGTGGGATTGACTGGCGTTGCCATAGGGTAGGCTTAACCATCTTTGCTATGAGGTGAGATCATCTGCCTGTGTGGGATGTTCAATCGGCTTCACCCACAAGGATCAACTATAGTCACAGTGGAGGGTGAGCAGCTGGATTTACAGTACTGGGGGGTCAACTGGCTCTCCCAAGGGGGTGAGCTGGAGTTGCCAAGGAGTGGGATCCAATGGAGTCACTGCTGGGATGATCAGCAGGATTACCTCTGGGGAGGGATCAGCTGGACTGCCATTGGGTGGGAATCATATGGATTCAAATGGCCAGAGATCAGTTTGATCTCAGGTGGTGAATAAGGTACGGTGCTTTCTCTCTGATTTAAGATCTTTCTTCTGAGAGCAATGGGGGGTGATTGGGGTACAAGGATGCTGTTTTAACAGTACATGTTTAAATAAACAAGTATATTTAGCTATGTTAGAAATCCCATCTTTGAGTGTTAGCATTGAAACAATTATTAAAAAATCTCATTTGCTTTTCAGCATTAATGCAGTTTTTTCTCAGCATGGCAACGGAAACCGGCTAGTCAATTGCTATGATTATTTCATAATTTGCAGCCCACTGAATCAATGCCACTTTTAGTCAGTTTCACTTTCGAGATCCCATGCATTAGGCTAGATATTTTAAGTCACACAGCGGGTGTGTTGCAGGGCTGGGTGCAGAACCCATGGCTCCTGATTACCGGGCCTGTGCGTCAGCTACTCACCCATATTACCAGCTGGGATTTTTTATTCTGTTTCCCAATGTAACAGGGTCTTTGTGTCCAGGAAAACCTGGCAAATTATAGCCCTGTCCCTGAAGCAAAGCAGCCCAGGCAATGGTGATCTCGCCTGGCAGTGGGGACCTCAACCTTGGAGCTGTGACCGAGCAACAAAAGACTTCTCAGGCCAGGCCCATGAGTGTCTCAGTAAAACCACTGCTCTGGTCATATGTATTGCAGCATTTTCCCCAGGGGTACAGGATAACATGAACATAAACCCGGGCACTTGTCCGAGAAGAGATGTTTGCCATCCCATCACATTACCATAGCTCTGTGCAACACACACATCCGGTCCATCGTCCCCATTAAGAGGTCCGGTAACCACGGAAACACAAATGGCCACATGACGGAGAGCCAATCTGATCCTCAGCTCCTCATTTCCCTTGACTCCAACAAGGTCCGGGCACAGTATTTGACAGCAGGTTTTTATGAAGCCCCCTAAAATAATGGGACAAACGCCCATGATTTGCTGACAATCCAACTGCTAAGGCCTTGTTATGCTGGCTGGGGACCGAGTGCTATTAAATGAAGTCACAGAGAGGCCAAAAAATAGCAGCCTGCTTGTATTAAGGAGTTTGAGTTTGAGCTCTGGGGTCCACATGGCTCTTAAATATGGCTAGGGAATGTTAATCATCCCTTTCTCTTCCTCCTCTCCTCACTCTCTCAGCTCTGTAATAACCGTCATTGTCTTAGCTTTTAGAACTTGCAAGGCACTGGCTCGGATGCCTTGGGGAGGAGCAGGGTGGAAATGCTTAGAGGGATAGAGAGAGCCTGGGGAGAGCTTTCCTATCAGTGATGTGTGTGTCTTTCTTGTTTCTGTGGCTGCAGGATCATCTCCAGAGGGAGAGGGACCAAAGGGAGAACTAGCAAGAAGGCTCCTCAGTGTCACCCGTGAAGTGATGCTGTAGGAAACCCCTGGACCATGAAGGGGTTAGGAGATAACAGAAGCCGCCACCTCTCCGATAACCTGGACTCCCCTCAAGACTCTCTTTATGCCGCCCAAGACAGGAACCCTTACCTCCTCAGTCCCACTGACTCCTACCCCGTGGACCCCCGGTTTCCAGCCCAGAATTCCCTCCATAGTGACTGTCTCCTCCCACTCAACAACCAGATTTCCAACAGCAGCACATTCCCCCGTATCCATTACAACTCCCACTTCGAAGTCCCGGACGAGAACCCCTTCCCAAGCCATGCCCAAGCCACTAAGATCAACCGCCTCCCTGCAAACCTCTTGGACCAATTTGAGAAGCAGCTGCCCATCCACCGGGACGGCTTCAGCACCCTCCAGTTCCAGAGGAGCGACGCCAAGCACCGGAGCGAGAGCCCCGGGCGCATCCGACACCTGGTGCACTCCGTCCAGAAGCTCTTTGCCAAGTCACAGTCCCTGGAGGGCCCCACCAAGGGCAGCGTGAATGGTAAGAAGGGCACAGAGGACCCGAAGCAGAACCGGAGGAGCAAAAGCAAAGACCGGGCAAAGACCACCGAGACCAAACGCAGGCCCAGGTCCAACATATCAGGCTGGTGGAGCTCGGACGACAACTTAGACAGCGACACCTGCAGCTATCGCAATCCAATGGGCCTCATGACCCTGGGCAGGCAACCTGACCACAGCCAGCCTAGGTACTTCATGCACGCATATAACACCATCAGTGAGCACATGCTGAAATCCTCCAAGAGCAATAACGACCTCAAGGTCACCCCCTGCGCCAATATCCCCATCAGCAACGAGTCCAACTACATCAAACGGGGCTCCTGGTCCACGCTCACCCTTAGCCATGCCCGGGAAGTGTGCCAAAAGGCCTCTGCCACCATCGACAAAGCCCTGCTGAAATCCAAGTCCTGCCAGCAAGACTTAGCCTATCATTACTTGCAGGTGGGTGCCATACTGGGGTTTGCTTCTGGTCTCTGTGGGGGTGATGTTCCACTTGGTAAGGAGGGCTCTGGCTCGGTGAGCCCTGGGGCACTGCTTTGGTCTGACCAAAAAATTAATCCGCTCCTGCTACTTTAGCCATCAGCACAAGTCATTCTGATTTCTCCCCTCCCACTGTATAACAGAATCATTTACAGAGCAGCCCACTGGGGTGTTACCAGGGGGAAGAAACAGCAACTGCAGGTGAAGTCTGAGTTGAATACTCCACCAGCCTTTCAAAGCATACCTGCAAAGGGCATTGGAGCAGTCATGTGTGCCCAGGGTGCCCACAAGATTGCTTGTCCAGAAGGGGGTGGCTCCCTGGCCAGATTCAGATGCACCTTCCATTATCTTTTTCATGCCCAAAGCCCATTGCAAATGTGACTCTTCAGAGCAAAGCTCTGTTGCCAGGAAAATGACCCAGTTCTATGCTCGGCTCACTAGGATGCACCTATCCCTAAAACTAACTCGATGTGATCTGTGTCTGTACAGCATCTAGTCCAGTGGGCGCTTGGTCCAGGAGTGGGGCTGCTGCTAGGTCCCACTGCAATACAATGACAATAATTTACCACAAGCCAGATGTTCCATAAAGGGGCATCTGATTTGTGCCCACAATGACACACCTGTTCAGGACCAGCACTATAAACCACTGGTTCACTGTGCGGTATGTGTTTCCCTAAGTGGCTAATCCACATAAAAATATAAAAGCCTACTACTACCACCAGTTAGTCCTCTAGCTCAAGTGGTAGCAGCTGACAATTTAATGTTGAAGGGTCCCAGGTTCAAATTGTGCTGGATCATTGCATAAGGATGTTTAGACACAGGTCAATATTTCAACAGGCGCCACTTAAGAACACAAAACCTAACACATGGTTAGACAGGGGAATACAAATAAAAGTCCAGGCCCGGGGGCATAATCAGCTGGGCCATGTTTGTAAATCACAGGAGTGCATTTTTAACACAGAGGCATCAGTGGCTCTTCTGGCAGTGGGTTTGTGGTGTTCAAGGCGCGATTAACTATTGAAAAGCAGCCTGCTCCTCAAGCCTTGTTTTCCACTTCCCGCAAATCAAATTACTGAGGTATTTATTGGATCAGGAATGTCGTTAGTTGTTTTCCTGTGTGTTAAAGTGTTACCCGGTTAAATAGGCAGCCACAAAATACTCCAAGCCACCCAACACTCAATACACAACATGGGGAAATCCCCATGCAGTGTGCAGATGAGAACAGAATGAAATAACAGAGAGAAATGGAGACTACTCCAACACACCCGGGATCCCAGCCACCAGCCCTCCTGAAGTCAGCTGGCCAGATCTTCCAGGCCCGTACGAAGTTATTACCACTTCACTGGAAGTTTGGCCTGCGAGAGGATCTCAGGGTAAAAGAAAGCATTACTTTGTGAAATAAATAATGAACCGCTCCTGAATTGCTTGAGAATCTGACCCGGGGTTGTGGCCACAGCTGTGTCTCCAGCCCAGAGAGGAGGCGGGCAGCCCAGATCTTCGGCTGGTATAAATCGGTGCAGCTCCACAGAAGCTAATAGAGTCACAGCAGCTGGGACATGGTTCCTTAGTCCCACTCCAGTCTGTGTAGGCAGCTGCCCAAGGCACAGAATCTAGAGGGCTATAAACCTGGCAGGATAGCTTCAGGGCATTGCCCTTACAGGGACAGATGCTGTCCCTGCAACTGTATGAGCAGCAGCAGCCAGGGCCACATCCCACCAGCCAGCGTGCACCGAGGGGCTGCTCCTTGCACTGCTAGGTAGTATCAGCCTAGGATCTGGGATTTACTTCCTACACTTCCTATGGAAATGAAATTCGTGGTGGGCTGAATCTGACTTTGACACGAGAGAGATCCGGGACCTCACATCAGGAAGGGCTCGGAGCAGAGATGTGGTACGAAAGCTGTTACCAAACTGTGCTCTGTAAGTTCACTGGGAGTGGCCCTGGGCGATCTGTGTGTGTTCAGGTAGCAGTAGGTGAGACTTGGTGGTTATGTGCGTTCCCTCCACGACCTCCTTCCCAAAGCCAGGCAAAGCCTAGTGGTTTAGGATGAGTTTCCCTTTGGGCTTTTGGGGTTCCAACCCCAAATTCCAAGCATGACCCTCTGCAAAGCCAACCCAGGGGAAGAGTCTGCTCCAAGCCCTGTGCACTCAACCAGCCAATTCCTCCACAGCCCTCTCAGGGAGATCTAGTGGGCGGGAGAGGGTCGCGTCCCCCATGTAACCTAGGTGAACGGCTAGGTGAGCAGCAGTGCTGAGAGCTCCGGCTAGTCATTCTCAGGCAGGGACGGTCATGCATTGAACACCAAAAGGCAGGGAGGAGCATCCTCTGTCAAGCACATGTGCAAAATCCAAACAGACCCTGCTGTCCAGTTCGCTACCGTGTGCCCTGCCCTCGTGTGCCTCTCTCCAGCGGCTGGGCGGCAGAGCTGGTGACATCTCCCTGGCTCCCAAAGGAGCTCTGCATGCCCCAAACTCAGGCCGGAAGGCAGCTGTGCCTTGCAGGAGTCGTGGTTAAAACTGGAAATGGGCCCAAGGAGCAAAGCCAGGTTCCAGAGTCCAGACCCAGAGCCAAGCTTCCCCACAGCTCGAGGGTGTGCAGGTCTGGGGTTTGGGCTCAAGAGGGTCTCCAGAGGAGAAATTTCAAACCTGAGCTATCTGCCCCAAAAACTAAGGAGCAGTTACTGGGGGGAGGGGTGGGAAACAGTGTGGCTACACCAAGCCCCTATCTTGAGCCCTGGCACAGGCCTGGTTTGAGCACTGAAAAAGGTCACTGAATTTTTTTAAACCTTCCCCTTGCCCTTCAGTTCAGCATGTTACGCTCTGCGCTGCCAGGTCCGGACACAGGGCCCCCAAACACTAGGAGCCCGGCCTGGAGCCATTCACAGCCTGGCCAGAAGGGCCCCAAAGTCTCACCAGGAAGCTAGTCCTCCTGAGGGTTCCAGACCCAACGGCTTTGGGTGAGGGTCAGCTCCACAGCCATGTTGCCAGGTGTTCCTCTGCCACTTCAGAGCTTTTACCCAGCTGCCGGTGCCTGATCCGACTCCCATCAAAGTCCATGGGACTCTTTCCATTGGCCCTGGAGTGGGCCCTGGGTGAGACCTGTGGATGCAGGGCTACATCATTGGCCCCACACTGGAGAGGTGACAAATGAGTTGTCAGGTGCAGAGGGATGCTCCCTGATGACTGATTCCTACCTGTTGCCCCTCCACTCCTCTCCCCCACTGGCTAGGAGGACTGTAGTAAAGTGGTCATCAAGGAGTTAATGGGGTGACTCAGAGTATTATGGGCTAGAGCTATGCTCTACCCCTCTCTTACTTCCTGTTTAGGAGAGGGGGGTGTTTCCCTCACCCTGACACGGCTGTATGCAGCAGCAGGTTCCCATCCTGCAGCACTGTAAGTAGAGGTTGTTTGTTGTGCACCTGGCTGTCCTGTTACAAGAAGGGCTCTGTGTCTGGGGCAGGAGGCAGGCCTGGAGGAGGAACTGAAGAAGCTTTACTGCAATGAGAGGCGTCCGGAGCCATTAAGCAGGCGTTGAACATTGACTACAAGTGTCCAAAGCGAGGGGCTGCATGTTGCTGTTGTTCTGGGCTCGGTGGCATGCAAGCGCGGGTTGATCAGCTGCTTCAGTCCCCCACCCTCTGGGGTCGCGATAACATCGATGGGCCCAGATGAAGCAGGGAGCTCCCAAGCCAATCAGGAGCTGCAGCCAGCACTTCTCCAGCCTCTTTTATTTATGAACGCTCAGTGGCTGAGATTAAGCAGAAGATGTTACCCACCAGCATTTTATCTTGCCTGGCGCCTTTGACTGCAGACGTACAGTTTGGGATGCGTTGGATTGGCGTCTCTGCTGACAACTAAGCCAGGGCCACAAACACCCAGTGTCCCAGACAACCGTGTGCATGGCCCAGGGGCTAGAGCGCTGCCCGGGAGCCAGGAGAGCTCTTCTGTAGACTGACTGTATGACCCTGGGCCAGTCCCTCTCCCTGCCTGCCCATGGGCATAAAGCATGTAGTGACTGAGAGGTGGGCTGGCAGTGTGGAGGATTCCTCAGTAAGGATCCCAAAGGGCTTGATGGACTCTCTGGCCAGGGGATATATCTTGTCCTCAGCTGAGCCAGGAAGGGTTAAACCCACAGGGACTGCATTAGCCACCAAGCCTGGAGGGGAGCTGACCACTGGGGAAGGTGGGACCTGACAAAGCATGTCAGCTTCTCCTTGGGCAGAGAGTTGCTTGTGGGCAGAAGGAGCCAAGCTTCCTCCCAGAGACTGAGTCTGGGACTGAAGCATGAGGCTGGGAGTAGGCGTCCATCTTCCTTCCTCTCCCTCCCCCGCCCCGGAGCCGGACCTGCTGGCCGCTTCCGAGGCGCAGCACGGTGCCCCAGGACAAGTAGGGACTAGCCTGACTTGGCTCCACAGCACCGCTGACCGGACTTTTAACGGCCCGGTCGGCAATGCTGACCGGAGCCACCAGGGTCCCTTTTTGCCTGGGTGTTCCGGTCGAAAACCGGACACCTGGTCACCCTACCTGCCCTCCGCAACCAGGCTGAACCCTCTTTGGCTCTGCCCCTTTGTGTCTTCCTGCTTGTTTCCCACAGGAAGCCTTAGCCATTCTCTCCACCTATGTGTGTGCATGTACATGTATGCGCCCGAATGCTTGTGTGTGCACACATGTGTGCATGCTTATATTTGCATGCATGCGCATTTGTGTCTGGGCATGTGTTCCTTTGAGCGTGTACGTGCATGCTGTTGTGTATGTGATGCGTCCCTATGTCCGTATGCATGTTTGCACCTGTACGTGTGTTTGTGTGCCTGCTTCTGTGCGTGTAAACATGGCAGGGATGCACGTGTGTGAGCACATGTTTGTGTGGGTGGTGTACGTGTACTTTCAGAATTGCTGGTTGTCCCTAAAACTCCTCCATCCAGCTGGCTCCAGCTGAAGCAATCGTCACAGAGTGGCTCGTCT